AATTTTATGTGTGAAAGTGTTCAATGAGTATAATTCTTAAATAGAATAAAATAAATTTATTATAATTTTAAAATTTTAAATCAGTATATTATGATTTAAATATTATAAATTAAGTTCATTGCATTTAAATTTAAATTAAGATAATATAATATAAACTAATTTATTAATTATATTGAACTTATTTTTTTATTTTCAAATAAAATATAATAATTATAAAATCCAGACAATTAAAATTGGGTCAACATTTTCTGACCCAAATTTTCTCCGCAGTCAGCGGTCAGTTAAAGTATGTATTGTGCAGCCGAGGACTTCGAATGGATCGGCGATTTATATCTGCTCTTCGTTGGTTTCACCTACAAAATGCACGCACAGGCTTTTGCAGCTACCAACACCTCTCTCTCCCAGTCTCCCTACCTCCTCTCTCTCTCTCTCTCTCTCTATTTCTCTCTCTTTGGCTTTCTATCTCTTTCTCTCTCTCCCATCTTCTTCCTCTAACGTACCTATGGACTATGAAAGGATTCACAAAGTTCAGGTATGAGTTTCTGTTTCCATTAATTGAAGCCTGTTTCAATGTTCCATTGAAAGTATTCTCTCTTCTTTAGCTCTCCAAAAATGCAGGCTTTCTGTCTTGGCAAGCCGTTAATTAATGCGAAAATTTTGAACCAATTCTCACTGTTTTTGATTTGGAAAGTGTTTCTTATTTGTGCCGCATATAGTTTCTCCGTTTCCCTTTTCAAAATCTGCAAGGGTTTTATCGTTCTCGTGTGCTTCTGGGTTTTTCACGTCTCGAGTAGCTTTTGCCGGTGAAATAATCTACTTTTGTTGAAGAAATAGGCTTTGATCTTGAAGAACGACATAAGATTTGTCTGTCTGCTCTATTTCAGTATTATCTTCATATTGTTTGCAGAATATTTGGGGATTTAACATTGAATAGCAATGTTATCTAATCATTAGCACGTACAAATTGTTTCTGAGCTTTTTTGGAGAAAGCAATTCTTTCTGCTGACAGGTTAATGGAAGTTATTGATTGTATAATTACAGCTTCAAAAGCTATAGATTCAAAGTTCTGTTATTGGTGTGCCCATTCATCTCATCCATAAAATTTTGTTTGCCATTTTTCTCGTAATTGATGTACCTTGTTTTTGTTCTCAAGTAATAGAAATTCTAGGCATTGTCTTACAAATTTGATTGTTCTTCGACTAATGCAGATGGGCCTTATTTCTCCCAGCAAGTTACGCATGAAAATACTTGGAGCTCAATATATGAAAAGGAAGGAAGAAGGGTGTTCCTCAAGAGTTTCCCCTTCCAAGCTTGAGGACATAGAGTATGCTAAGAAAAATTTACTGGCTGGCGATCTTGATGATGAAGGTTGGTAAAATCTGTATCAATCGTCTAGATTTGGGCTACTTCTTAATGATGATTTGCCTTTTCCTGTTTTGTGATGATTTACTTCTAACGATGAGTTTTATATTGTGATTTTATAGTTGTTGGCTTTAAGGACTCGCCGGTTTCATCGATTAATGCTAAGTCTCAAAAATCAGAGTTTTGTAACAAAGAACTCTCACGCTATGGTGAAGGCTTTCAAACTCAGTCTTCTACTGCAAATTCCCTTTCTAAAGGAAATTCTGAGACAAAATATTCAAGAAACCAGAATAATAGTTCTAATTCTTCTTATCAATCCAAACTTGGAAACAACTACTGCACGGTGCACCCTATGAAGCATCAAGAAGTGGATGATGATGGTTATGACAGTGGGCATGAGAGTGCTAGCAATTCTAACTTCGAGTTCCATCGTAGAGGAAAAGTTTCCCAACTTCCAATTATGGGTCATTTCTCTAGGCATATTCCATCAAAATGGAATGATGCAGAAAAATGGCTTGTTAATAAGCAAGTGGTTCATGAAAATGGATTAAAGAACAATTCAGTGCAGTATCAGTGCAATAGGTTGGTGAATTCAAGTTTGGCAAGGATTGCTCCAGAATCCATTAATATAGATCAGAAACCTTTTGTGATTCAGCCTTCAGCCAGCAATTCTAATTCTCAAAATATGGTGGACAAGTTCTCATTTGTTTCTCAGGGCTTGCATGCTAATTCAGCTTCATTGAATGATGAAAGTTGCGTGACAGATCCTTCTGAGGGTATAAATTATAAAAATTCATCAGTCTCTGAGGGTTTTCCTTCTGGAACTACAGGTATTATTGCTATTTTTATGCATTCTTTACTAAAGAAAGCCACTACATAATTCAAAGTTCAATAAAAGTTGCTTTCTGTTTCGTTTTATGAGTTGTTCAGAAGATTTAAGTTGACTTTCTATCATTTAGTATTTCAAGATTTTAATAGTATTGGCAAAGACCTTGATCTTGTTCTTTTTCAAATTTGTGAAACATTGTGGCGCAATACCATGCCAGGAAAACATGTTATTGTGAACATTTCAAATTAGTTCTCTTAGGCTTCGTTTGGGACAACTTTCATATTGCTTCTTAAAACAGCTTTATAAGTACAAAAGTTAATTTTTTGTACTTGAAAGCTGCTTTAAGCAGCAGTAAAAAAGCCGTCCCAAACGAAGCCTTAATTGAAACATATGGCTTACAGTCATGTTCTGCAGACATTTCTGCCAAACAGCTGGTTTCAATGAGAGATGTAGGCACAGAGATGACCCCGATTCCTAGCCAAGAGCCATCAAGAACAGCAACCCCTATTGAAAATTTAACACCGAGCCGCAGCCCATTATCTTCAAACCCCTCATCTCCGCGAATTGGATCAGTAGCAGTGGATAGAATGCCGTCCACTGATGAGAATGAGAAGGATTACCAGAAAGATGGTAAAAAGGTAGAATTTTCTGAAAGAGAATTGCAGCTGAAAACTAGACAGGAAATTGCAGCTCTAGGCTTACAGCTTGGTAAACTGAACATAGCCTCTTGGGCTAGCAAGGAGACAGAGCAAAATTCTCAATTTAATAAAAAAACTGACGAGGAAGAACAAGTGAAACAGGAATATGAAGCTTGTGCTGCAGCTTGGGAAGAAGCTGAGAAATCCAAGCACTTGTCCAGGTAGTTGTTACTTGAGCCTATACAATAATTTCTTTTCGCCAAGTTTTCCTGTTCAGAGGATCTTGCTGTTAAATTTTCAACGGCACATTTGTATTCTTTGATAAACAAAAAGATGATTATGCTTATTAGGCAGTAAGTGGAGTAATTATGGCTATTGTTTTGCATTTTTCTGTTTCTCTCCAACTTTTCTTTTCCACCCTGTTTTATTATTATTATTATTTTCTCAGAAACTTTTACATTTTCAATGATATCTGCTAACTGTTGTTGTCCTTTTGCATCCCTTTGGATTAGACAGTTCATCATTTTCAAATTGTATGGCAAATTCGACGCTTTGTCATCTAGGCGCATAATTTTTTTAAATTCAAATGCAAACTGTATTGGTGATTTGCCAATACGTTGCACCTTTAAATTTACTGGTGAAAATTTAAATATACATGCATGAGAAGGGGATGGTGGGTGTTGGAGGGGAGAGATTATTAGGAGAGCTTGGTGTGTCAACAAGTGCACTGGGTCCGTATCTGTGGTCATAGAAATTTTTAAATGTTCTGTACTCGTCAGTACACACCCAGCACAACATGGAATAGATGCATTGAGAGCACCTAATAATCGCTCAGTGTAAAGGAGCTAGTTGTCACGGAGAGATCTTCCTTAAGTCTTCCGTGCGGCCTTAGCAATTCAAGCTTGATGCTAAGCAGCCTAACTTCTAGCAACACTAGGGAAAGAGCACTTCAAGTTGGCCCTTGTAAAGAGCTTTCTTAGTGAAGAGTGTTCTTTTAAACCTCCATTCTCCAACTTCATTTGCTCTTTCCTAGCTTTGCTAGAAGTTAGGCTGCGTGGCATCAAGCTTGAAGTGCTAAGGCCACACGGAAGACTTAAGGAAGATCTCTCCGTGAGAGGATGCTACCTTAAGGAGTGAAGCCTGGGGATAGGGATGCTTTAATTGAGTACAGTTGCTTTAGATTCTATTATGTTCTAAGGCCTCTAAACTTGGAACTCAGCTCCAATTGTGCTTATTGCAATCTAATATCAGCTTGACTAGCATTTTTATTTATAGAAAATCTTGCTCGTTCATCAGTGCTATTTGCTTACATTACAGTTTTATGTCATTAAAGTTCAGTGGTTTCTGTCTGGTTTCCTGTTACTTAAATATCTTCTTTCTGAGCGCTGCAGGAATATAATGTCTATTAAATCCTTCTATAATTACTTATCCTTTACAAATATCTGAACTGGGTCTTTGAAATTAAGCTTTCGGCTTGAGTTTTTTTATTTATTTACTTTTCTATCATTATATGATTTTAACTTATTATCATTCATTTTATAATCTTGATAATTTTTATATTCAGATATAAACGAGAAGAAATCAAGATTCTAGTATGGGAAAGCCACCAAAGAGCAAAATATGAGGCTAGTTTGAGAAAAGTAGAGGTAACACCCCCATTTTTATCATTCATGGTGTTTAATTCATATAGATGACATTAAATACGTTGCAGCATGCAAAGTTTTCTATTTTTGATTGAAGGGAAGATGAAGAAAGAACCATATTCGGTTCAAATTTAGCTTTTTTTGTCCTCTCCCCTTTCAATTTTGTAAACCAAAAGCTCTGCTAAATCCATGCACTTCCTAAGTGATTGTAAGCCTCATAATTGGGCCAATTGCCTATTCTTTTCAGTAGCTCAAATCATATAACCAATAAAGTGATCCTAGCGGCAGACCAAGCTTTTACTTTGTTTCTTTCACTAACCACCATCTTCTTGATAAACTATCAGATCCGAGCAGTAAATATGAGATCTCGCGCAGAGGCAGCCATGGCAGAGAAGCTCCGTCGAGCAGAGCGGAAGGCGGCGGAGAAACGAGCCAATGCCCAAGCCATAATGAACTTGCAGACTGCAAGGATATCTGATCAAGCAGACTCGATACGTCGATCCGGCCGAGTTCCTTCTCATTTTAGATGCTGCAGTTGGTTTCTTTAAAGCTCAATAGAGAATTTCAGATTCAGATTTAAGTGTGGTGTGGAATTTTCACCCTTACAGAAGACCAAGCTAGAATGCTCATTGCTCAATTCTTCTTCTTATGTTGCTAGATTCACCCACTTCATAGCTTCACCTTTTGATCCTAATGTAACCATCTTACGTTTGAGACGGCTTTCTTACTGTTTCTTAAAGCGGCTTTTTAGTACAAAATTTTTAATTTTTTACTAGAAAGCCACTTTAAGAAGTAGAAAGAAAGCCGTCCCAAACGAAGCCTTTGTTTGGTGTTTCAGTGCAAGCTGGGTGAGTTGTTTATAGGGATATCAAAAGAAAATGATTGTGATCTTAGAACTCTAGTATATGTGAAGTAAAGTGTTAATGTAACTCTGCAGGGCCATTTCTATCCTCTGCTCTTCCAGATCAATAAATTGTTTTCATTATTCCTTGAAATTATTGACATGAGATTGTCTTAACTGAATAATGATTGCCATGCTTGAATAAAATATTAGAATATCAAAATTTCAGGAAATGATTACACTCATTCCACCACAAATATGTCCATGATGAGAGATCAGCTTTTCCCTTGGCCAATCAATGAGGATGTATGTGGTTACATTGGATTGGAAGTTGGAGCTTTCTAAGGCTTTCTTTGAGATGACTTTCTTATTATTTTTTAAAATAATTTTTAAGTATAATGTATTAAAAAGCAGTAATAAAATTGTCTCAAATAAAGTCTAAAATTGTTATAGAGATTTTTTTTAAAAATTATAATAGAATAAATTTTTAATTTTTTTTGAATGAAATGAAAAATAAAAATTAAAGAAATTTATAATAATGAATTGAAAAGTAAAATAAGAAAATTATCCGGAAAGAAGTCTAAATAGTTTGAAGTCAACTTACAATCACAATAGGTGAATTTTCAACTAGTGGCGGTGGAAACAAAACATATTATTCTAAATAGGGCTGCAAACGAATTGAGCCGAGCCGAGTATGTAATATCAGTTTTTGCTCCAGGTTCGTATTATTTGGAAGATTCAGTTCCGAACCAAATTCCAAAGCTAGATCCTGGTTAGTGCAGCTCCGTCGCGATCCAGCGCGGGCGGAATCCGTCTCGTCTCGGGTCGGGTCGTGACAGAGTATGTGAGTGTTCATGTTTGTGTTCATTTAATATCAGGTTGTTCAAGTTCGGTTCATGTTTGTTCGAGCTTTATTGTTTGTGTTCATGTTTGGTTCATTTAAATTAATGAGCGTTCATGTTCGGTTCATGTTCGTTCGTTTAATGCTTATCGAGCTTTAAACAAACAAACATGGACGAGCTATAAACGAGCTTTACTTTTAGATGTTCATTAACTTAACAAACAAGCTTTATCGAGCTTCCTAACAAATAATTACATCGAGCATGTTCAAACGATTACATCGAGCATGTTCGTAAACATATCTAATAATTTTTTTTTAACTATCACACAAACACGTTCATGAACATATCTATGAACAAATACATTTATGCAATTGTCTATGTAACAAAAGCAATGATTTATAAGCAAATCCTATCTTCACAGAATTTTTCTAACTTCACAGAATTTTCCTAACAACAACATTAATAAAGGCAATGATTTATAAATAAATAGCCATATAAAGCTACAATTACCTCGACAGCAAGTTATTTTTGTCGAGCTTATTCACGAGTTCAAAATCGAACACGAATAGAGCTTTTATCGAGATTCTTATCGAGCTTAATGTTGAGCTTGTTCATTCCTAATTTCAGGGACAAGTCAGCCACTTGTAATCTAAGCAAATAGTAGTTGAATCTTTTCAACTGGGTGTGGTCTCGTAGTTTTTTGCCATTTTCAGGGTTTTTCACATAGAAATTATGGTGTTTTTTCATCTTCTGTTTGTGTGCTGGATATCCGTAGAACGCTGAGATGAAAACTTCTAACTCTATCACCGCGTTGTACCTCTACTTTTCATCAATCAAAATGGGGGTGTTACCTCTACTTTTAAATTGCATAGTATAATTGCTACAAGATGATGAATAGAAACATTAAAATGTTATAATTAAATATATGAATTATTTATGATATGATGCATCTATTGGATTATTTTAATTGATGAAAATATGAATGTGATACTAAACTCTTAGAGGACTTTTATGTATCATTCCATCATCTTTATATTCTTATACCTGATAAATTATACATCATTATAAAAATTATTTGAATTTAAAATACTATATTAAAAAAATAGATCATTATAAAAATTAATAAAATTTAATTTATATGTAATTATTATATTACAAATCACATTTTATATTTTAAGTACATTAATTTAAGTTCACACATGCAATGGAAGCAAAAGCTAAATTTAAATAAAATCAATTATTGAATACTTTTAATAAATGACTTGACCCACCAATCCAAACCAAAAAATTCTGGTTCAAATTGACTCGTTTAATAAATGAGTCAATTTTAAGTCTGACATTGCGACTTGTTAATTAAAAGGGTCAGATTCAAGTTGTAACGCAAACTCATTTTTGTATGGTAAAGGACCCTTTAGTATTTTTTTCTTTTTTAAATTCTTTTGTTTGTGGGTATGATATTCTTAATTTTGATCAAATAATCTAAACTATATAGTTGATAAGTTAAATAAAAAAATTTAACTAAAATGGGTTAACATATCATATTCAATTCATTTGGGATTATGGTGAGTTGACTTCACGTTCATTTTTTTGACCTATTTACTAAAGGGGTTGGGTTCGGAAAAACTGGATGCATATCAGATTAGTTTTGAGTTAGACCCAAACCCAACCCATCTTTTCACCACTACATTCACCCTTAAAGAGGGGCACTTCGTCGTGTTTGCCAACCACTACATAGGGACCTTGGGTACAAACAAATCAATAGATACCTTGAATAAATCAATATGCATATGTACTAATTTCTGTTTTATATTCCAAACTTATATTATTCATCGTATTTTAAATGAAATACATTAAAAAAAAAAATTCATAAGAATGATGAACCCCATAATGATCAACTCATTATATAACTCTGTTTAAATATTAAAACATTAAAGCATATAAATTTAATAATGTTTTAAAAGAATATATATATATATATATATAT